TTGGTTTCTTGTAGCCGAAGGAGCCGGAGGCCGAGGGGCGCGTGAGACCTGATGGTGGCTTCTTGGCATCAGCGACGCGGTCACGGCCAGCATCGGAGGAGGAGCGCTGCAGGCCTGTGCTCTTCACAGACAGCTTGCCCTTGTCGGTGGCTTTGGTCTCGGGCTTGCCTGGTGGGCAGGGAAGGATGGGTTATTATCTTGGGAGGCTTTTGGGGACATTTGGGTGCAAACTAGCCCAGATCAGAGATGCGGGGACATGATGGAGATGAAGGGACATGCCACCGCCCTAGGTGTTGGGGCAGAGCCACAGCCAGGCCTCTGGTGCACCCAGCCAGCACCCAGCCTGGGGTTGGCCATGGGGCAGGCACAGCCCTGGGCAAGCAGGGCTTAGCATGGGGCCAGACCCACAAGCTGCCCGCAGGGATGCACAGTCCTGCCACCCTCTCCAGCCCACATCCAGCTGACAGGTCTGAGTGCAGTCACAGGGTGTCCTGTGGCCGACATGCTTGGGGAAGGCCCATGAAGACACCACCCAGCCTTCTCCCCATCAGAGAAGCTGGACCCTGCCGGAATCGGGTCTCACCTGCCACTTTGAGGGTGCTCTGGGCCGTGTGGGTGATGGGGGAGGTCACGGCCACCGGAGGGGTCTTGCCCTTCTTGAGGGAGCCTGGGGTGCCCAGGCTGACAGGCTTCTTCAGCTCGCCACCCTTGGGCCCCTCCTCACCGCCCTCAGAGGGCTCCCGCCGCCACTTGGAGGAGCCATGCTCCATTTTGAGGCTGCTGCTGTCGTAGTCCAGCTTCTTGGACGCCTTGTCCTCACCCTCACCGTACCAGCTCAGCCCGCTCTCTGCCAGCGAGCGTTTCTCTGAGTCCGTGCGCAGCTGCAGGCAGAGCAGAGTCAGGGGTGCTCCTGGCACCCACCCCAAACCCATCCCCAGGGAGTACCAGCCAGCTGGGAGAGGGACGCACCAGACACCCTGTGCCATGCCTCAGTTTCCCCGTGCTGGCACCTTCCATCCCCTCCCTCCCGTAGAGGCTGTGACACCAAGCCGGAATCGGTGCCAGGAAGGGTCCAGGCCCCACGGGGACCTACCGCTATGGCTGAGTTTCTGCGCGAGGCGGTGGGGGTGGAGGGCAGGGAGTTGAGCGAGGAGCTGGCGTTGAACTCCTCCGAGCTGAGGTTGTCCGAGGCATCGCTGAGGCCGCTGCTGATGGAACTGCTCTCATCCCAGCTGCAATGGCAGAGCGAGTGTCAGACCCCCCTGCCCAGCCCCAGCTCTGCCCACCTGTGGGATTTCCCCGCTCC